TGGAAACCTTAGCCCGAGAAGGCGCAATGAGTCATTCTCCTGGAGGTTAGTATCAGCCATGCTGATGGAAAGTAAAAAATGTTCTCTTGGACAATTAAAAGAGAGCAGTTTCATTTTGGAGACATTAAAATTAACAAGCCACTCCCTGCCCCAGTTAACAACAGAATGTAAGTCATTTTTTAGATGGGCTGCCAATTTAACCTTAGAAAACCAATCATTACCATTATGACAGGAGTAAATAGTTGTGACCTCAGGAAGGTCATTAATGAAAATTAGGAACAACTAAAGTTCAAGGATAGAGCCCTGGAGAACACCTGCATTAATGCAAAAAGATGTAGAAGAGTAATCATTCAAGACAACTTTTATTTTCTGATTTGATAAGAAAGATTGAATCAGTTCAAAAATTCAGCTGGTGAAAATATAACCTTTCATCTTGTGAAGAAGTGCAGCATGCCAAACACTATATCTTTATCCAAAGCAACAATTCAAGCGTCACCATTCTTATCTAAAGCTTAATATACTCTTTCAGCAATAACCGTTAATACATAAACAGTTGACCTAGAGAGAAGAGAAAGCCATATTACTGAAAGAAGACTGCAAGGTGAGATGCTTAACAAATTCAGAGTTGATTAGAGCATCTAATACTTTGTCAAAAAGAGATAGAAGGCTCTGATAGGCCAATAATTAGAAGGATCAGACAGTTTGCCAGAGTTCTTAAAGACTGAAACTGCAGAAGAGGATCTCCAACAAGCAAGAAACAGCAAAGCATTTATTGTAGAGTTTAGAGAGAACAGGAGCACAAGAACTTTAGGATTATTGTAGGGGTAACATCAATTTCACATGCTTTGTTCAGATCCAGTTTAGCGATGATAGAAGGAACTCCAACAGCTTATTGTGATATTCCCGGTTGTGTGGACATTTAAGTTCCTGTCTCCAAATAATGATAATATTGACATGGCCAAAATTTAATTCAATTTATAAGACAATTTTTTTAAATTTTCAAAGTCAACTCTATTAAACAACATATTTAATGTTTTCTACTTTTAACCTCTGTCATTTATCAGGCAACTTCATACTTCCATCTTCCTAGAATGTTTTGTCATTGTCAGCAAAAAAAAAAAAAAATACTTTTTTTTTTTTTTTAATTAAAATAATTCTGTAAAGACCAGTGATATTGAGTATTATCCAATGAAGATGGTGGATGATTAAACACAGCCAAACCATAGAAATATTTTTGCCTGAAACATAGTCTAATTCCATAAATGCTTTTCATCGATCTTCAGGCTGTCATTTGGTTTCATTGCGAGCAATACTTGTTCAAATCTATAATTCTAGTTCTGTATAAGGAGTATTTTGCTGTACATTTTGTATTTTTCATTACCTATCACAACTTTTTTCAAAAGCAAAACATTACATTTAAGTAGTGAATATTTTCTCTTCTATATTATGTTAATTGTTCTCACATATCTTCCCAGCTCCAGCACAAAACTTGAACTAATTTTGACAACATTTTCTCATTTACAATACCTTAATAAAGCACACCAATCATTTTTTTTTCATTTGATTTGCATTTTTACTTTTCTAATAAGTTAAAATAGCATAAGTTAAAAACAAAAAAAACCACCTTTTTAGCAAATTTATACAAGAGAATTCAAAAGAATATATTTTTCTGGTTAGGAAATTTGGCTTCTCTATCATTTGAGCTAAGAATAATATAGAAATATTACATTTTCTTTGTTGTTACTTTCCATAGTCCTTATGTATGTGAAGCCTTCTAACATAATTTTTTTATGCACGTGATCCTATGTAAGTGATATATCTAATTAAATCTAATAATTACTTTGGTATGCATGAACTGAGCAACAATTAGCCATGGGCAAAAAAGCCACCTATAAAAGGAAAGTAAACAACATGAGGCAGTTATAAACTTGTTTTAGATTAATGTCTAAGCTATTATTTAATAATTAAAGTTAATACATTAATAAATATGACAAAAAATATTTTTGTGAATGTGTTGTAAGAAAGAAAGAAAAAAGAAGAACAGTGCTTATAGACTAGAGAGGCTCATATTCCATATATTGAGATTAAGTACTAAATAATGTTTGCCTGTTGATCCATTTTTAAGTGATAATTATCAAATACATTCCAATCATCACTAGTTATTTGGATACATAAAGTTATTAGAACAGTAATAGCAAATTTAAGATTATGCAAAATTTGACCAAATGTTTCAAAATCAAGTTTAAATACTGAAACCTTAGGCCAAGATTTAGTTTAACTCACAGCTATACCTTGTTTATAGTAATGTTTATGATTGCCATTGCTTGTTGTATAAATTTCATAAAGATAATCCTTTAACATAGACAAAGAATATTTATATGTACCAACATGCAATGATAGTAATGTTTAAAAAGGGGTGATTGTGATCTTTCTGATAAGCCTTAATCTGGAAATTCAGTCACTTTAAATAATTAACTTTTGGAGGAATTTTGAATGTAGATCTTTCTGGATTTAAGTCACAATGTTTAACATGTTTAACTCCAAATGAACATTCCAAGCAAATTGTGAAGAAATATAAAGAATGGATTTCTGTTCTCCATGAGCTCTCAACAGAGAAACCAGTACTATATATATATATATATATATATATATATATAATATATTTTAATCATTTCATTCCAAGCAAGACGATAAAAAACCCCGCTAAGATGCAAGCAGTTACTGAGAAGAAAAGAAACAGAGGACAATAACAGAACAGGAGACAAGGGAAAAAATTTCATTGCATTTAAATTTTTGAAGATTATAATTGACAGGAAAATGCACACATTAGAAAGAGCAATTTCCTCTAACAAGGCATCACTTAGCAAAACCTGAAGAAAAAAAGTAATTTTCCTTCATCACATATGTTTATTAAAGTTTCAGATTATCATTTATTGAAATTTCTAGAGCATTTTCTTAGTGTTAGCATATTCAGAAATAAGGAAAATATCAGTCTAATTTTTTTTTTTTTTTGGCTTTTATCAGTGAGGCATAAAGAAAAGGGCTTTTATGCTGTGCTATGATTATTGCTAATGGCAGTAATTATGTCATTAAAAGAATTACATTAGCATCCTTTTCTATTTTCTCTAAAATTTGAGGTTATTTCTAAATGATCATAATTTTGTGCCAAAATTTGTTATTCATATTAATTCATAGTTTCATTATTGATTCAACAAAACATTTTCCCTCACTTTCTGTGCTAAATTGCATATTCCATCATAAAAAGAACAATTCCAGTTTTGAGTTAATTATTCAAAGATTGTTTTTCATTATCTTGGAATCATTGTGACTGATGGCACTCACTGGTTATTTTATTGAGGAAACTCTTCTAGTACCAGATTTGCCTTTTGCCTTTAGAACCACCTTAATTCTTCTTGGCATGAATTCAACAATGTTCTGGAAACACTCTTCTGAAATTTGGGTCTTTGCTGTTATTATGGTATCTCCCTTTCTATCACATCCCAAAGTTGCTCTAAGGGATTAAAATCTATTGATTTTGGAGACCCACTTAAATACACAAAACTCATTACTGTTTTCTATGAATCGATCTGCCACTATTTTTGATTTGTGACAAGGTGTGTAACCCTGTTAGAAGTAACCACGAGAGAATAGGTGCACTATGGTCAACCACAATCACTTGGTAGACTACAGCATTGAAAAAAATTTTTCTTTGTACCAATGCATTCCAAGAAATTTTTCCCTTTATCATTTACAATGGATATGAGCTTGCAATAAGAAATTGGAGAACCATATTTGAATTCCAATCAGGTTCATTACATTCACTTACACATAAATACCCTTCCCAATCAATTAATCCCCTTTGGCAACCTGATCGGCTGATGCAAAGCTGGATGGATCGATGCTTTCCTGTTGTTTATGCCAAATTCTGGCCTTAACATTCAAATGTTGTAGCAGAAATCGAGGCTCATCAGACCAGGCAATATTTTTCCAATCTTCTATTTTTGTGATCCTTAGCAAATTGTAGTCTCAGTTTCTTGTTCTTACCTGCCTGGAGTGACACCTGGTGTCTTCTGCTACTGTTATTGCCCATCAATGTTTGACATATTTATGCATTCAGAGATCCTCTTCTGCAAAAGACTGTTTACTTTAGCTACTATTATCTTTCTATTACCTTGAACCATTCTGGCCATTCTCCTCTAACCTCTTTCATCAACAATGGTTTTCTACCTGAAGAATTGCTATTCACTGGAAAAAATTTTTTTCTGATCATTCTCTTTAGACATCAGAGATGGTTGCGTGTGAAGATCTTAGTAGGTCAGCAGTTTTATTAAATACACAGACATGCCTGTCTAGCACCAATGACCTTGCTATGTTCAAAGTCACTTAAAGCTCTTTTCTTTCCCATACTAATGCATGAAATGAAATTCAGCAGGTTGCCATGTTTAAATGTTTATATCCTCTAAATTGCTGCCATATCACTGATTAGAAATTTGTAAAAAAAAAAGAGCATTTGTTCATGTGTACTGAAATGAAGGTATATTGTGCAAAATCAATATCTAAAAGTAAAACATCAGGAAAATGCACACTGCATGTAAGAACTTCCCATTCCAGCTTTGTGACCTTTGATTGCAGCTTAAGTACTGGTGTTTTCATGCTGTAAAATCACTGATCAATTTCTTTGTTCCAATGCATCATTCAAATGAGTTAATTGCATTTTACAGTAACTGTTTGTCTGGAACTGAGTAAACATTTCAATTTTCCCTACTAATCTACAAATGATGGTGCTCTAACCTTTTACACCAACTTAAAACATAATGGTTTTTGATTAAGTTTTAAAGAAATGCCTCATTATTTAAAATATGCTTAAAAATAATTGAATCCTACTTGAACTGAAAATCTGAAATGAAATGATGAAATCATGCACAATTCATTTGGCTGAATAAATATAAAATTTTGAAAATAATAATGAATCTAATTGCTACAAACTTTGTATTTTTCAGAGATTATGAATGATGTGGTGTTAGCTGTGAAGAAAAATGCTGAATGGAAAGTACTTATTGTGGATCAACTCAGTATGCGAATGGTATCAGCATGCTGCAAAATGCATGAAATTATGTCGGAAGGAATTACATGTAAGTAATACAAAAAAAATATATATACTTGCTTTTCAACTTTTCAGTCTTCATATTTTTTATTATTATTATGTCACATCACTTTCTATAAATTTAAAAAACTCCATAAGACATTTTTTTAAATTTTGGCATACTGCTTAAATATTAATATTTCCTTCATCTACATCAATACACACACATGTATGGTTTTCATTAATGGGCTAAAATTTTAACAGTTAAAAACCATAAATTCCTAAAGATTTCTTTCTCATATTTAAAATGTTCAATTAATGTGTCTTGCATACTGTTTTAAAATGTTTTCAGAAAATGAATTATTTTACGTGATTATTAAACTCTATGAACACAAAAGGGGCATTTTACAAAATAAAACATCAAATGCTTTGGCTGCCCACCATATCAAGACTAACTAGCACTCCTCTGCTGCATGCATGTGTAGTACTACCAACATAAAAAAATTAGTCTGATGAAGTCCTGAAGGACAAACTGTGTCACAAGTCAACTTTCCACTTCAACAATACTTTAAAGATTTTTATTCTCTAAGTTTTTTTTTTTTTTACTTCAGTGGTAGAAGATATCAACAGAAGAAGGGAGCCATTACCTTTGCTTGAAGCAGTTTATCTGATCACCCCAACTAAGGAGGTATGTTTATTTATCAATATTCCAAACAAACTTTTATATAACTATGTATATTTCCAGCAAGAGAGAAAAAGTAAATTTTTAAAAAAAAGTTATTTATATAGGCTTTGTTTATTATTTGTAAATTAATGAATATATTAGTACAAAATAAACTTTTCTCTCTCTCTCTCTCTCTCCTGTTCTGCTTAAAATATATGGATCAGTTGACTGCTTATCTTGTCTTCGGGAAGTTCAGTGGACTAAACATCCATCTATATTGTTAACCAGGTTATCCTTGATAATCTAGTTAACATTTTTCATCTCAGATAATGTTCTCTTGCTCTAATTCAACAAAAAACATGCAAAAGGTTGATAAGCCATAAAAAAATACAAAAACAGGTGGTGGGGTAGTGATTGTGAAAGAATATAACAAATGTTATTAAGGAGTGAGAGCAATAAAAGAACAGAATTTAAGAGGACAGAAGATAATGATTTACATTGCATTTAAATTTTTGAGATCAAAGTTGACTGGAAAGCAAGAAAACAGGAGAGAGTTCCACAAGCAAAAAGTGCAAGAGAAGAAACTGTTAGTATAGAACTTGTCATTTCAACTGTAAAATGAGGATCTTGCCACCAATTTAATAAGGCACTTAAATACGTAATCTAGGTACCATAGAGGAAAGTTCATCAGAACATTTACCATATTATTTATAGAAAAGGTATGGTGAAGCTATGTTACAGTGAGGGGAAAAATGACTGAAATCGAGATGCCAGGTCAAGACCAATAACATTGCAGATTTTTCTTTGGATTTTATCAAGGATCTCTAAATATCTAGCAGAAGAACCAGACCATATGTGGGAGCAATATTCTAAGCATGGATGACTGGTAGACTTATAAATATGTAAGAGAGATTCTGACAAGAAAAATTGTCTAGCATGACACAGGGAACCAACCTTCTTAGCAGTAAACCTAGCAATCTTTTTGATATAATCTTTCCACTTCATATGAGTGGAAAACATCAGCTCAAGAAGGCACAAGAAGTCATTCTCCTTGTATTTGTCACAGTAATAAGTATTGTACCAACACAAAAATATTCCTGTTGATGTTTTGTTACCATTATACATTAGTATTAAGATCTGAATTTTGTTAGTATTCATATATTTATTGTCGAACGATTTTTTTTGAAATAGGTGACTGTTTCTATATATTTGTGCTTGCACATTAAGTATTATAGGGATGCTTAATTAAAGATTATAGGAATTAAGTTTGAAAAATTTGCCAGACACTGCATGACAATTAACATAGGAAGTGACATCACACTATATTTAATAACTATAAACTGAAATCAGTGATAAAAATCTGTTTGTTTTAAATTTAATCTCATTGTGAATTTGAATCTTACTACATATTTCAGTTTTATATTTTGTGTATTGTACTGATGATATACAGTAGTTTCTCTTCTATTATTTCATAACAATGGGGGCCCAACCTTTCTAATTTTAAGTGCCACTAAATCTTCATTGGTTGCATAAGGAAAATAAAAAAAATTTTAAATAAAAAAATATCCCTTTTATAGCTATATCACATTGAAAAATACTGGTTCTCATCTGATTACCTACTACTGGATACGAGGATAAATTACATCCAACAGCAAGGCCTCTGATCGGGAGATTGGAGGTTTTGAGTAACATGTAACGATCTCTTAATTGCTGTTGCTCCCAGAGTAGTAGCACCTGTGAGGGTCTCGACTATGGGCAAATAGCAAACCCTCAAAAAAAAAAAAAACACTGTGAAAGTATAAAAATACATTTTTATAGTAAAATGACCAACAGTACATTTTTATCTGTAGTTGAAGACATGCAATTGCATTCAAATATATATTTAGCTGAAGCCATAAAATTGTGTTTAAATTATTTTGGCATTAAATAACCCATAGAGGTTGATATGCCACTAAACAAAATCAACTATAACATTAATCCATATAATATACTACAATTTCTTAAAGAAATCAAACTGTATTCCAAAATACAACTTCAACATAAAACATACATGTCACTACCTGTATATGCATAAAAGCTGAGTATTATCTACTATGTATTCAATTGCGAAAGCAGAATAACATGTATCATATTTTTATTACTTCAAAGCTCCCAAGAAAATTAAATTTTAGCATTAAGTGACCCGTAAGGAGTTGATATGCTGTTTAACAAACAAAACATCTGATTACCAAAGTTAAGTAATGTTGAACCTGTGCAGTATTGATCAGGCTCAACCTTGAGAATATCAGCAGCTGTAATATGTTAGGAATACCAGATGCTGTAAGCTTGGATGTGCAGGTGGTGTAATCGACAACAACTCAGAATGAGAAATCAGAGAGCCGAGTTCAAACTCACCAAGTTTGTTACATTCACTTACATGCAAATACCCTTACGGAAAGGTATGAATCCGTCTATTCTTCCCCCAGATATGGTTTAAATAGCATAACTGACTGGGCCCTATAGCCTTGATTCTGTCTATCACCGAAAGTGACAGCAGCCTACTGCAGGAATTCTTCTGCCAAGTCAATCATGAATGAAAGAGAAACATGATTGCCCAAATGTGTATCATGCATGGTACTTAAGGAGGAAGAAGGACTCTTTTATAAATTTTAGTCTGTGACAAACATGAAAATAATTTCTACAATATCTTTCAACAATCAATGTTGGTTTTCAATATAACAAAATCTTTTTGAGAATTTATAGGAAACAATACATTTCTCCAAAGCAGGCAAATTTGACATTGCTATGGTGGCCAATTACTGACAAGAAGGAAAACAGGCAAATGCTGCTGCTTATTTACACTATTTACATTCAGACTAAAAATATACATATTGAGCATTTGTTAAATATATCAAGGACTGCAATCTGCTAAGGTTAGTTGACCCATACTACTTTAAAAAGAAAAAACAAATCTTCACAATAATCATAAAAATTAGATTTTTGATTATGAAATTCATTAATGACTTAGTTTGAGAATTAATCTCTTTTAACAAAACTGTTTTTTACTACCTACTAATTGATTTTTTTTTTTTTTTATTTAAGTCTGTCAAGTGTTTAATGGCTGATTTCCAAAACCCTATCAATCCTCAGTACCGGGGTGCACATATATTCTTTACTGAAGGTAAACTTTTCTTTTTCTCTCCATGTTAAAATTTTTTTTTTTTTTTTTTTTTTTTTGCATGATGTTCTTTGAAGTATCATTTCCTTAACAAAATTTCTTGCAAATTATGATAATGCTAACTATTAATAGACATTAAAATTATGTAATTTAATATATAGGAAAATGAACAAAATTTCCTTCAATAAAGTGTATTGATTGATCTTATATATATATATATATATATATATATATATATACACACCTTGAAAGAAATACGATACCTAAGGTTTAAATGAATTTTTAAAAATGAAAAATCTTCCTTGAAGCTTTTATTTTAGTTTTAATTTCAACCTAATAGATTAAATTTATTATTTCCAATAACCAAAATATTTTGCTGTATTTCAAAACTAATTTAAATTGATTGGAAGTTTTTTTGTTTTTTTTTTAATCTTTCAAAAATAAAAAATACTTGTCTGAAACTTTATTTCAGGAATATTAGCTGATTTAATATTTAATTAATCTGATTTGCAACAAATATTACTTACTTTTTGTTTAAAATATCACAGAAATACATTTTTAACATGGCGGTAGGTGTTTATTTAAGGTGTTGAAAGCTTTGACAGCATTATTGAAAACCAAAAATTTAACTAATTTTATCTGCAAAGAGAAATATCTGTAAAAATTACTTGGATATAAAATGAGTGCCTATTTTATGTCATTTTTAAATACTCGGTGATCTTAAAAATTTAGGAAAATATTCTCTATAATGTTTTATTGAATTTTAGATTCTTTGGCCTTAAATTTATAGTTAACACTCTTGTTTAAAAAATAACCTTACCATTTAAGCACTAGTTTATTAGAACAAAGCATAGACACAAGTGTATATGTGCCTGTGAATGCGTGTTTATATGTGCATGTCTGTATACGTACATGCATGCATGTATGTGCAAGTGTATAAATACAGGCATATGCACATAAATTCAAACAATAATAAATAAAAATTTAATTATGAACTTGACCTCTTACAATTAATACTTAAGATACTACCAAACCAAATAAGAAAACAACATAATATCCAAGTGAAGACATAAAATATTTATCATTTAGGCATTAATATCAATTATTTATGTAACTCATGAAAAGACTAGAACACTCAAAAATTAAAATCAATAACATGTCTAGAGAAAAAAACGGAAATGAATAGCTACAATTGAAGGGAAAAGGGGGGTGGGAGAAAAGGCTAAGGAGTGAGTGTAAAATGGAGAAAAATAAACAAAGAAAAGGACAAATAATCACGATACCCTATATGTATGCACATCCTCACAGACGGGTGCATGCCTGTACACATACAAGCACACACGCACAAGCAAAAAATTTACACTAATGATAATTGCATAAAAAAGATAAAAATAAGCAGTTAATTGCTGATATAAGAGTGGACGGATGGGTCTGTCTATAGAAACTGCAGTAAGGGATGCTGAAGGCAACATCAATCGGCTAAGTGACAAACTTTTACTTATATTAAATATATATACATACATACATACATACATATACACACACACACGCACACAAAAAAAAATCAAAATTCTTTTTAAAATACTGGTGGTTGCTGAATTGTAGTAAACTTATGATTTGTAAATATACTTTTTACTTAATGACCTAACCCGTACAAATTAATGCAGAATTTTGAGATTTACAGCTTTATAAATTATTCTAATTAAAACTTGTAAATGATAAAACTTGTTTTATTATGTTTGGGACTTTTCTTTTCTTTTTTTTTTTCATTTATGGTCATATTTAATCAAATCTTTGGAAACACCTCTGTGTGTGTGTGTGTGTGTGCACGCACATATATCTATTATATATAATTTCTTATTGAACAGCTTGAAGAGTGATGATTGAGAAAATTATGAAACTGCCAAAATCTCTTTAGCTACAATAAAAGTAATTCTCTCAAACATACTATTTGTTATATTTTGTTAAAAAAAAAAATGTTAAGTGCAATTTGTCAATAATTTTGTGATTATTTTGCATCATCACAATCACAGTATTTGTTTTTAGCTGGTTATGGAATTCTAAAATGCATTATATTTATGTATCCTAATAAAATGTAATAAATTTAAATTTTTTATTTATTGTAGCATGTCCCGAAGAATTATTCAAAGAATTGTGTAAATCTCCGACGGCTCGATTTATCAAGACTTTGAAAGAAATAAACATAGCTTTTCTTCCATATGAATCCCAGGTAAGTATAATACATTCAAGTGAAATGACTGAATGCTTTTAACCCATCTTCAGACTAATGAAGTTATTTTGTCTCTCCCCCCCCACACACACACTTAAGGATCTGACCTTGTAGCAAAGGGGAGAATCAGGATACCTGGTTTTATGTTTTACTCTAAACTCCTCAAAGAAAACTGATCTCACATTAACACCAGTTTTGCCAATAATATAGAATCCACCTTTTCTTTATTTATGATAATCTTATTATAATTCTGCTTGTATTTTCCTTATTTAGCACGAGCATTACACCCTGCCAGTACCTCCTAAATAATGGACTATTCCATTTTGATCTGCATGGAAAGGCAGAAAAGTCATATCAGAGACACTACTTGGTTTCTTTGAGAAAATGTAAAAAGAAAGGGAAGATAAATGTTTAACGTCTGTTTCAGTAAAATGGAAAAAGTTATCAATTTTCATTTGTACACTATTACATCTTAAAAAAAATGACCTGAATTCATATTTATGATTATTATTGCAATATTTTGTTCAGCTTAAATATTTAACAATGTGATTTCTAAGGATATTTTATTGCCATAAAACTCCCCATGAGATTCATCAGAAAATTAAAATAGGAAAATCGTGAAATTATTCATGGGTATTCTAGTGAAGACTATTGTTTCAAACTTTTTCTATGCATACAGCCCTGAGCTTTACCCACAAATGAAACAGAATTCAAAGCCAAGGGTTAGTTATGAGTTTTATCACCACAATTCTTATATCTGTCATTCTTCTCATTGCATTGCAATAAAAAAATTTTTCTATTGTTCTTTGTTTATATAAAATTTATACATTTATGACTATCATAATTCATATAAATAAAAAAGCTTTCATTTAATCACTGCAGATAACCTTTTCTGTCTGCCATCAGCATGTCTGATGCTAAACTGTGCCTTCTTAGATTCACTGACATGAAGGGTTCAGTGATTATATTGAATCAATTGCTACATCTACTGCTAGGAAAGTTGGTTCACTGTGTCGTGCCAGACAATTCTTCTTGTCAGAATTCTTCTTGCACATTTATAAATCTATCATCCATCCGTACATTGAATATGGCTGCCCTCCTCTGGCCTGGTGTTCCTACTATATATCTCAAGGTTCTTCACAAACATTCAAAGAGATGTCTTCAATGTAATCATCTCGACTTCAGTCACTTCCCATCTTCATAACCTGACTTCCATCTGTCTTTTCTACAAATATGTATATTTCACATATTTTTCTTTTATTGGCAACTTTAGTAAAGCTTATGTCTAAGTAACAATTTTGTGTTACATTTAACACTGACAATAGTAATATTTTTAAATAATGAAAAGTATCTTAATGTAAACTATTCAAAGGAAAGCAAAAATTTAAAAATGACACTTGTGTTTGTCTAATTTAGCAGAAAATATCAACTTTGGATGGAGGACGTCATGTTGTCAAATGGGTCATTCTATATCAATTAAACCAATCAATGTAACCCCCAAAAATAGATTTTTTTTCATTTTGATATATGTTGTAGATATTATAATCATTAGAAAATACTGAAAGTTTTTAATGAAAATTCCTAAATGTTCTCAAGATATCACAAGTTGAAATTTTGCTGAATCAGCATTTTCTGTTGACAGATATTTCCATTTTCAAATTCAATGACATCACAAAAACTTATTTTCTAATTCACTGGCCAGAAATTAATGAAATTAGATACCCTTAGAGATTTTTCATTAAGGAATCCAAATATCCCTTTAGAATTTTACAGAGGTTAACTAAAAATATATTAGCATTTTTCTGGTGAAAATATGAAAATTTTTAGGCAGCCATCCACAGAAAATTTGAGAAATAATATCTTCAGCCCCTAAAAATAGCAAAAAGTGGCACAACATTTGAAAACTAAAGTATTTAAGGAATAAATCACAACAAGTTTCATTAAATGTTTCTCAAAACTACCAATTCTAGAACTCTTAATATTTTTCATCAAAAATTCTGATTCATGGTAATTTTGCAATTATATCATAATTATGATGATCTAATATTAATTCATTCTGCTAAACTGCTAAAGGTGATATAGTTCATAGGTAACAAACCATTAGGAATTCATAAATGAGGCATATGAATAAAGAAACATTCTGATATGGCAATTGGCTAGCAAAATAGCATTAAGTACAACTGATGCTATTTCAAATGCCAAAAAATAAATGCTTAAATGTAAATTAAATTGTTTCTCCAAATGAATAATTTCAAATATTAAGCTATTTAATTTTCATTGGGATTTTTTTTTATTTTTTTATTTACAACTATTTCAAGACAAATTTATTTTACTAAATTTAGCAATTATTTATGGTTATGACAAATGTGGTATTGTTACCTTTTCAAGAGATTACTGATTCCAGCAATAAAACTTATAACACCTATATACATAGCAAGTAAAGCTTGAGCAATTTAAGTTATTTTAATACTTAATTTTTCACCTGTATTTGATTATTTATTGTAGATATTTTCATTGGATTCACCTGATACATTCCAAGTATATTATAATCCCTCTCGTGCACAAGGAGGAATACCAAATAAAGAGAGATGTGCTGAACAAATTGCTACTTTGTGTGCAACTCTTGGAGAATATCCTTCTGTACGATATCGATTGTAAGTAAGTTTTCATAGTAGTTAAAGAAAAAACATTTAAACCCACTGACAAAGTTTAAGAGAAAATGGAAACAAACGGGTCACTTAGCATCAGAAGAGTCTGTTAACATTTCTAAGGCACATAAATGTGAGGAAAGAGAGCTTAGAAAATTTGATACACACAGGACATATTGAAGCCAAGAGGAACAGAGTAAAGCAGTGCATAACCTACCTAACAAGCTTGTGTAGATGGTTGGCAGAATGGATTAGGAACAATAAAAATAAAAGATAAACATTATTAAGAGCTACAAAGGAGAGGAAATTGTGGAGAGCCATGGTCACCCACGTTTTAAAGCGACATGGCACATAGAACCCAAGCAAAGTTAATAAACATGGTACATATCCTTATTGCAATTTCAGTATACACTGCGTGCCAAATTATTATCAACATAACTTTTTTTCTAATATTTCAAAAACCGTCCAATCAATTCACACAAAATTTTCACACAATGTTGGCAACATTGACCTGCGAGATCACTGAAATTTTTGTACTGATCTGTGCAATGTAAACAAACTGGCGCCATATTTTTTACCAGCACGATGATTTGAGCGTGCCAAATCATTAAAAAGAATGAGTAAAAATCCCAGAATTGAGCAAACAAAACGTTTATTAATGTTGCACATGAATGTTTATGATCAAAAGAAGCTAATAAATAAGATAATCAAACAAATAATAACAGTTACAAACAAAGCACAGTTTTAAACAAATTAATAGGGAATGTGCTTTCCCTGTTTTGAAATTACTTGAAGAAGTCGATGATCCATAGAATTTGTTAATTGTAGGATGTCATCTGCTGTAATGCCACAAGATGTCAAGAATTGCTTCCCACAACTCAGCGTTGCTCCTGAATTGTCGTCTGTTGGCATACAGTCTTTGCTTCATGATGTTCCAAAGGTTTTCGATTGGATTCAAATCCAGAGAATTTGCTGGCCACTTCATTTTTCGAGGTCCATCGAAGTCTGTTTCAAATATTCAGTAGTCTTGTGAGCAGCATGTGAGGGAGCATTATCTTGCATAAAAACAATGGCCCTTCTGATGGCAACTCTTTGCCTTTTCATTCACAATTCAAGATGCTCCTTCATAAACGCTATGTATGCATCATCAGTCATTTTGACACCATCTGGTACTCTCCATGGGCCCACTAATGTTTTTCCAATAATACCACCCCAGATCATTATGCCTCCACCGCCTTGTTGGCATCTCAAACGCTGATGGTGATTCTGTCCGTTCATTACCCAGCCTTTGCACCACCTATCTGGCCCATCAAGTGTTGCTCGAGTTTCGTCTGTGAACAAAACTTTAGAGAAGTCAATCTTCATATTGTCCTCGGCCCATTTCAATCAATTTTGAATGTGATTTCTCGTCAGCGGAGACTTCGATACAGGTTTGACTGTTGTTGCTATTTCCCTCAGATACCGACACCGAGTACTTTTAGACACAGTAGGATCCCCAATGTGACTGAAAAGCGCTTGCCCGGTAAGTCCAGGGTTTTTCGTGGCCTCTCGTTTAAGTCGTAACATGAGATGACGTGAAATAACCCTCGGCTTGCCTTTATCTGCCCTTTTGCGTACTTGTGTAGGGTCGGTGGTGAACTTTTTCACTGTTTGATGACACCTCCCTATCATTTTAGAAATTTCTAGGGTAGATTTACCTTTTAAACGTTCTGAGGTGATAGTTTTCTTTTCAGCATCACTTAAACTGCTTTTATGACCCATCTTTTCACTAAATTCTTACACTTTTCTAATAATTTGGCACACTCAAATCACCTTGCTGATAACAAATATGGCGCCAGTTTGTTTACATTGCGCAGATCAGTACAAAAATTTCAGTGATTGCGCAGGTCAGTGTTGCCAACATTGTGTGAAAATTTTGTGTGAATTGATTGGACGGTTTTAGAAATATTAGAAAAGAGTTATATCGATAATAATTTGGCACACAGTGTACAAACAGCAAAAATCTAAATTTCTAATATTGTACTTGTCATAAACTAACAGGTCAACAACAGTTACAATAATTATAACAAAACTACATATTCTTTCAATATCTTGCATCTTTTTCAGTCAGTATAATAAAAATGATCATATTACTGGCATGTCACATTTAGCTGGTATAATTGTGGCCATTAAAAAAATTTTCATAATTTCCATATTGTGTGTGTATTTTTTAATCATTATCTCAAATACATAAGTTTTTCATATACACAAATCCATGATTTTGTTATATATATATATATATATATACACATACACACACACACACAAATTCATTGGGGAGGTGTCTAGTATCATGTAGGATTCCTTGCAGCAGGTCACATTGCCAGAATTCCACAAGTGTCTGGAAAGAAATTTGGCAAATTGTGGATAATTTTTCTTATTTGACTTTTTTTTTCTTTTTCTATGCCATGGTCCTTTCGGATGTAGGTGATCATGTCTCTCCACAGTTTACTTTCATCCTGGGTATGCCGATAAGCTATATCCAGCAGCAAGGCCTCTGATCAGGAGGTTTTGAGGAGCTTGAAATCACTTCTTAACTGCTGCTGTTTTCAGGTCCACCTTCACCCTCAGCTATGGGTAAATAGTTGTCCCCAAAACTGGGGTCAAAACACTATGAATATGAAAATAGATTTTTATAATAAAACTACCAGAAATACATTTTTGAAAAAAAAAATATTACTAGCAATACCTTTGACAAAAACCCTCTTTATAAAAATACATCAGTAAAAAGTGATCTACAAACTGATTTCTTACAAAGAACACATATTTTATTCATACAAGCCATTCCTAAAAATCTTGATGCCATTAAATAATCCATTAATGTTGATATGCCATAAAACAAAATAAACCAAACCAAAAGTTTACTTTTCTTTTAATATTTGTGAAGTGTCATGATTGCTCTTTGGAAAGGTCGTGGAGTAGTTTCCTACTGGTTGCCTTATCAAGGAACCAAAGCCAACTTTGCTCTATTATTTTACCCAGAGGAAGAAGTGATGGATTCATACCTTTTTTTTCAAGGACATTCATGCAAAGGGTATGCGATAGCCTCAGCTGGATTTTGAGCCTGGCCTGTTGATTCCATTTTCTATGTCATTAACCATTAAAAACAGGTTATTTTTAATTGTTTTTTTTTACAAAAATGATATATAGGCTTGTTTGTAATTTACTGAGGTAGAACTTTAATGTTGTCCTTTTATTCATATTTGCTTTACAATGTGTTAAAATAAATGTTTTACTGATTTCCTTTCAAATTTCTCATTATTTTGCTACTTAATTTCTCAAAATAAGTTAATTTTTTTTCTCACTTGAACTTTTGGCTTTATAATATAAATAAATATATTTCCTATGGCAACATCTATCTGCTGAAAATATAGTCTGCTACTATTTTTTGTTTTGTTCCACTGCTTTCATTTTATTTATTTTAAAAGTTGGTATGTACTCTTATTTATTGCACTCTCAAATGACAAGCAAGAAAAAGTTGCACAAGAAGAGCTTCCAAAACTACAAGAATATATTAACCACAATATAATTTTAAAATTTATCTGATGCTGGTAGATCAAAGATGTCCATTTTATATTTAGCACCTTGGATAAATGTAAGCAATTATTGCAAGTTCATTAAAGTCTACAGAAGATCCATTCTATATTTAGAAGTATAAAAATTAACTAAAGCAAGGATTGGCTAACAATGTTATTTCTGTTTATCTTTTCTAGGGATTTTGATGAGAATGCAAGCTTTGCTCAGTTGGTACAACAAAAACTAGATGCCTACCGAGCTGATGATCCTACAATGGGAGAGGTAAGTCATGATCCTTAGTTAATAATTCAAATATATAAATTATTTGACCTGGTACTTTTGTAGTGCATAATTAAATCTCTATTTAACTAAGACAAAGATATCTCTCACTTTTTAAATCACCAGTTTGATAGGAGGTAACAGGTGGTAATCACATTTCCAATTAAAACAAAACTAATGTTACAGTGTTTTGGGGTTTTTTTTTTTTTGTTTTGGTTTTTAATTTATTGAGATAAATTGACTGATTTAACTTGGATTTCTTTATTTTCAGTTAAATGAAAAAAATATCTTATAATTAAACTCCTTTCAATTATTAAACAAAGATTTGATAATGTAATCTCTAAGAAGTTTTTAAATTCTCTTTTAAAGTTTTTTTTTTTTTTTTTTTTTTTATAAATTTTTGCAGATTATTATATTGGTTTTTATTATGTATCCTGTAAATGGCTTGTTCACCTATTAATTTTCTTATGATATTTTTTGTGGGCTTATTTGGAAATCATAAGGAAAGTTTTTCTCTCTTTGAATTTATTATTTTGAAAGTTACTCTTTATTGATGGAGTTACAATTACCATATTTTCCAACATTGAAGATATTTTTCTTAAATAAGTCTTAAAAATTTACTCTGCTTCCTCTAGGTTACATTTTCTTTGATTTTTTTCTCTCAACTCAAAATGGGGATGCATCTTTGATGTCAAAGTATCCTCCAACAAGGGAAATTACTGTTTTTATTCAGTTGAACATATAACAATAATATAGTCACTGCCATAAATAAAGTAATTTTACTATTTTGATATCAGGTTCAAATACATCTCTTTTGTATTTTTCTCATCTATTTCTATTCTTGTTTATTAATAAACATAAACAATCATAATAAAAAAAAAACTTGTGCTAATAAAATAATGATAATTTTAAAAAATTAGACAAGACAGTTCCAACTAACCTTGTAGGTTATTTTTACACACTTCTGTAGTAAAAATTGCAAATTACCTTCTATATATGTAACTAAATTTGTTTACTTCTTCCTTTTTTTTTTTTTTTTTCCAGGGTCCACAGAAGGATCGATCCCAACTACTGATTCTTGACCGAGGTTTTGATCCCATCTCTCCTCTTCTTCATGAGTTAACATTCCAAGCTATGGCATATGATCTTCTCCCTATTGAAAATGATGTTTACAAGTAGGTTGAAAAGCAACCCTAAAAGTGAAATAGTATCACTTAAACCTTATCTGACTTGGTTCTTAATTTTTGCAAGGCTTAATGTCATATATATATATATATATATATATATATATATATATATATATATATATATTCAGTTAAATATTAATAACCATAGCTACATACATACATAACCATGTTTTTTGTTGAGGCAGAAATGGTATTAATCTTGCACAAAGTAGGTGGGTCCTGCCTGACAAAGGATTTTTCATAATGATGATTTTACAAGACCAGATGCTCTTCCTGATGCCCAACTTGGACACTCACAACAGTCCAAGAATGCTGAGTGTTTTTATCATGACACCATCTCTAGGAAGGTTAAGTTGATATGAATATGTGTGTGCTGGCCATTGGCTGCTATAAAAAGCTCATCTGTCTTAAGCTATAACTAAAAATAAGTTAAGAATTATGCTTAATTTGTCCAGGATTTATTAGAAACATTATGATTATAAACTGGATTATGCTTTAAAAACCTTTAATCGTGTTTATAAATTTAAAAATGGTGTTTTCAGTATATCATAATGGTTAAGAGGAATTTGTTTTACTTAAAGAGTATCCAAATGACAGATTTGGTTAAAAAAAAAAAAAGCAAAACGACAACCATTTTCTTTGGCTTTATTTTTTTATAATGTCAAATTTATCTGCTTAATTTTGTGGCTTTTTATATATTAAGAATCACATAAAATGTAAGAATTTCCTTCTATGGTTTGGTGTCTATTCAAGTAAAAGAAAAAAATGTCTTGTAACAACAAAAGAACAGCATTAAAAATAAAAAATTGTTACACTGAAAAATGGGAAAATATTGGGCTGTGTGGAAAGTAATTACATGTTACAAGAAAGGATATAAAAACAAATGAAAGTTAAATTTATTTAAATGCTATTCATGAAAATTGTAATCACTTTCATTTTCAATGACTGCAAAAAGCAAATTTTTGATTCCACATTTAAAGAAATCTAAGTTTTTCTGTGAAAAAAGTTTGAAAAACTTTGTTTCTGAATGTTCTGCCACATATAAAATGTTCTAGTTATCAATACAAATAAAAATCTGTACATTCTATAATTGTTGAGTATGGAAGAACCTCCCATCTTAACAATCTTATTTTTTCTTTGGTTTGTTTTGCAGTGTGTGTCCTTGCATTGTCTTTTCTATTTACCAAAGCAGAATGCTTTCGGCATAATGCTTGGCTCATAATAGACAGCACCTTCTATATTCCAACAGACACAAAGCAAAAACTTTTGTGAATGGAGTCCTGGTTTTAGTGTTGACACTGGTTTCTCATTCTGTGATAACCACTATCTTTTTCATTTTCTGTGGACATGCAAAACCCATTTTTCATCACCTGTAACAATGTAATGCAAAATGAAAGGTTGTCATTCCTGATTATAAGACTGCTGAAGATGGTTGAGTGTTGTTCAGTTCTTAAGTGAAAGCTTTTGAGGATCACAAATTCCCTCTTTTCAAGTTTTCCCTATTAAACTCTGAAATGCCCGCACACTGTCAGATAGAAGTGATGATAAACTAATCCTGGACACATTTTCTTACCATTCAATCTTAGTTCTTCTTTGATTCATTATTCATAGCAGGGAAATGCATAATTATTTTATGAACATCCTAATATTTACATGAATTAATAGTCAAAATAAAAGAATATATAACAACAGTTAAGAAGTAAGCTTTTTTAAAATATTTAAATATGTTAGATTCAGAAGAAATCTATCTGAAGATCTTTTTTGTTTCCTATTCTTCTTTTCTTCAGATATGTGAATACTGGTGGCAATGAGGTACCAGAGAAAGAGGTACTTTTGGATGAGAAAGATGATTTATGGGTTGAAATGAGACACCAACATATCGCTGTTGTTTCTCAGTAAGTACCTACATTGCTTGCCTGTTATAAATTTTTCACAAACAATACTGATTACAATTTTGTAGATATAGCCAAGTAATACTATATTGGACTAAATCTACCAGGTCTTTGGTTTTAACTTTTATTTCCAGGTCAGTGATCTTTCTTAGTTGTTAAATTTATGAATTTACAGCGAAAAACCTTTGTATTTTTTATCTTGTAGCTGAAATCAGTTTTCCTTTAAGTTTGTAATGAACCAGTTATCACTTTATTACACTGGCTTATTTGACTGCAGTGATAAATCTCAATTCACAATCTTTAACAACTGCTATGGCCTTAGCCAGTAGTAGTTGTTATGTACATTGGGTACAAAAGTAGGTATACAGTTATTAAAAACAAACCTTTCACAAAACATATTGTTTGCACTATTTACAATGTTTGGACTGTCATCCTCATTTTTGTTGTCATATTCACAACGTTTCAGACGGATATCTCTGTATCAGTTATTTCCCTTTAACTCAACTCTCCAATTTTTTGTTCACCTCTGCAATAGTCACGTATTGAACTCACAGCTGTTTGGGTCAAGTTACCAAAGCTTTTATCCATTGGGCCATGTGAAAGGGGCATGGCATGTGAAACTAGAACAATCTCTCCTGGTGGACAAAAGTAAAAATTGAAATTCCAATCACCTGAAGAAGGCCAGAGTGTACATTAGCTAAAATGTCATGAAGATGGCAACAAAAATGAGGATAACAGTCTGAAGATTGTAAATAGTGTAAATAATTACAATACCTCATCACAGAAATATAGACAGATAAAACATATTGTATTGATTATACAAACACATCAATCCTTCAAATGTTTAAACTGTTTGTCCCCCATCATTCACACACTCCTATTTACCTCTTTATTATTAATTAAAAAAAATGAAAATTATAATGAATGTATTATAATAAAAATAAAAAATATTAAGTGATTTTAATCTAGTATTAAATGAATCCTCAAACCACTATTAAAATATTAACTGTATACCTGGTTTTGCACCCCCACCCCCTCGTATAGCTAACAGGCAAAGGCACTGTTGCTATGGGAACTAGGAAAAAGCGTTTTAATGGTTATTGTTCTTGTCAGTTTCTTCTCAATTCATTATAGTGAGTATAAGAGATATAAACACATGATAAACAAATTATAGCACATATTTGAAAATATTTATATGCATAGATTTATAAGAAGAAAACGTATGCATATATACAAAATATTACAAACATTGTGTTGAACAAAGCTTAATTTGAAAGGCAAGTAAAATGGGTTGAAATCTTTAAATAATTTTATTTTGAAAGGTTGAATGTCAGTGTTTTTAGTAATTATTCATGATGAAAAGCATCATCATAAATAAATTATGTCAGCATTTTCGAAATGAGAAATTATCCCTATTATATGTCATTCCATTCAAACTCGGTGTTTCAGCTATTGTATCTCACAGCCTTCGGGTATCTGTCATCATGCTTGGTAATTTTCTCAAAATTTTGAAGGAAACACTTTATTCCATTCATGTCAGTCAATTGTTCTCATTCTATTTTCTATGCTTAATGAATATCTCATATCTGTTAATACTCATCAGTCTTATTCACCTTTGTCTCACTTGTCTGTTTCTTCAGCTGAACTAGTGTAACTTTTTAGTACTGCACAACCCAAGGATTGAACTCACAAGTGTCACTCAAAAATTATACCACTTGAGTAAGGATGCTCATAAAATTTCACCACATGAGTACAGGCATTAAGGTTCAAGGCTACAATATTACACAACTGGATTGTTCAAGAGCCACATGGCCTAGTGGTTAAAACACATTTTGTTCCCTGACAGTTTTGAGTTTAATCCCTGGATCAGTTTGTGCAAAAGAGTAATATACTCTGGTTCAGTGTAAGTACACCATATCTTCAGTAAACAAGGTGATTATTATGGTAACAACTTGAATAAATGTAGAAATTGGTACCAATTGGTCCATAGTAAAATTTCTGAAGACTTTGGGAAATGTGTAAGGTGATTTTATGAGTTCTATGAAAATAGATTAGTTAACAAAAGTGTAAATTGAACTTGATAACTGCATAATAAATTTATGACAATATCCTTATTTTAAAATTTCTGAATGCTTGTGAATTATAAATTATACAAACAATATTTTCAACAAATATATGAAAAGCTAAAAAAACTGCTTTATAAATAAAACTTTTCAGTCTTATATCATTCAACTATATTAAAAATAAAAAAAATTCTCTCTATTTTGCTTTATTTCAGTTTTATTTAATATTTGAACACTGTTAACAGCCAATGATAACCCTTTAGAAAATGTTTATTTCAGTCATGGAGGTGTTAATCTTATTCTTATTATTTTTTCCTTCATTTATTGATATAACACTTTTGAACATTCATGTAATTTTATTTTTTTCTTCCAGTAAAACATCAATCCCAAATTTAAATAGGAGTTGACATGCCGTTAAATCCAACATCCATCCATCCATCAATCCCAAATTGAAATAAGCCTCTTTGATTCTGCATAGATCTTCAAAATTTTAAATGCTAAACTCTACCAAATCTTACAATTTTATTAATAATCACTATAAACATTAAATCTTAAATAATTTTTGTTGCTATTTTTAAGCTAATTGCAACTGCTATGATAATTAAAAGAATCACCCTTTCTAGTCAAACTTATAAAATTATCATAAAACTTTTGGTGATGTAATACTACAATCTTTATAAATACTTGCACACAACCTACTTCAACTTATTTTTCATTTTGTTTCACTCCCACATTTAAAGATGAATAATTTTTGTCATTTCAGAATGTATGGTGAATAATGCAAATGATTCTGGTTTCTTTTAGAAATGTCACCAAGAAACTGAAGCAGTTTGCTGAAGCAAAGAGAATGGGCACTGCAGATAAGGCTGGAATTAAAGACTTGTCACAGATGTTGAAGAAAATGCCACAATACCAAAAAGAACTTTCCAAATATTCTACACATCTCCATTTAGCTGAAGATTGCATGAGACAATATCAACAACATGTCGACAAACTCTGCAAAGTTGAACAGGTAAATTCTTAGTTATACAGTATTGTATTAAAAGTTTTTGACCATCAAGTGATAAGGAATTTCAAGAAGTGGCATCTTATAAAATCTTTTTAAGTTCCAGTCTAGGATTGATAAAGATGTGTTCAATATAGGACAGTACTGAAAATGACCTGGATAGGAAAAGTTCAGTCAAAGAAAGCAAAATAGATGTGGAGAACTTGTCCTATTTGGTGTTGGTAGATGCCATTAAACGTATCCTTAGAAAACCTAAATGGAACAAGTGTGTAGTAACATAAAACAAGGCAACATTTATCAGAAAACATTTAAAGATTAATTAGTTTAAGAATCAGGAGTCATTAATACTTTGTGGAATTTCCAGAATTTTATTGTAATATATGAGAATTTGTTGTTGTTTTTTTTAATCAGATGAGTTTTAATTCTAAACTTAAACATTAAAGTTTATTTACAGTTATTTATATAAAAAATAAATTTTCCAAATTGGTAACGAGCAAAATTCCAGAAAGAAAAAAAAAAAAAAAAAGAACCTTGCAAGTAACCAGTCACAAGAAATCAGTTAAATTATTGTGAAAAGAATTGATTCTTGGCATTATATGTAAATGTTTAAATACTTGGATAGTATAAATTTTAATACACTTTTCAAGATTTTTAAAGTCTTAATAATTGTTTCAAAAACAAAGACAATTTATAAATTCACTTTCATATGTTTAGTTTTTATTAAAATTCTTAATTGCTTTTTAAAACATAAACATTGTCAAGGAGTAAAAGTTAGTTAAAATAATAGTAGTGTCAAGGGAAAAGCTATCTGTCTGAGACTTAGGTCCAAGATTGCCAAAATATTTATATAGAGAAAAATATAAATGTGAATACATTTTGATTATAAATTACATTGAAGATTACTTGCAGAAGGAAAAAAATAATATGCCCTATCTCTTATTAAAAGTTTTGGCTAATGTATAAAATAATGAAAGAAAACTTAAAAGGATCAAAGAAACCAATTTCATGATTTTTTTTTTTCCTTTGTAGGATCTGGCAATGGGTACTGATGCTGATGGTGAAAAAATCAGAGACCACATGAGAAACATTGTACCAATTTTGTTGGATCAGAAGATTTCAGCCTATGATAAAATAAGGATCATTCTACTGTACATTATCCACAAAGGAGGTAAATATTCAGTAAACCCATCTAATAAGTCTGCTTACTCCTTGCAACAATTATCTTTATCTTTCTCTTTTTTTCTTAAACTCACCATGCTCCTCTGTGAAGGATAGGGCTACAGCTTCAACATGCTCAGTGTTATTGCAGTGATTCCTATAGCAAGTATGGTTTTACTGGGTAAAGTTGCCACCTCCACACCCAATCTGATTGGAATTCAGTTGTCTTTTTTCTAAAGTGGTTGACAACCAAAGTTGGAGTATAGTTTGCCATTTAACCCATAATTAAGGGAGAGAAAATAGGGATTCAAACCTTTCCCAAAGGTGTTTGTGTGAAAGTGAGTGCAACAAACTCATCCAGTATTTGAACTTGGCATATCAATTCCACTTTCTAAAGCAAAAGCCAATACACTATGAGCCCACATCTTAGAATTTATAATCACCTTTAAAATCCTTACCTAATTAAAGTAAAAAAAAAAAAAAAAAAAAGTACTTCCATGGTACTTATTTGTTATTATATTATTTCTCAGAATCTTCTACTCAATTTACAGATGCAACAAATTATCCATCAATATATGGATGAGTTGTATCTATAGAAATTGTTAAGTTAAAGTAAAATGTCTCTAAATGATTTGTTGTTTAAAACTTGTCTTACTGAAATTGTATCTGAAAATACAATTCTTAGTTTAAACAAATATCTTTTCATTGATGTCCACTCAGAGCATAAAGAGTAACATATCATTGTCATTATGTGGTCAACTGCAGTCTGGTTTCTGAAAATGACTTACAAAACAAATTTGTTTGTGGACCAAGCAGAGACAATAAAGAAAGAAAGCTTTATCCAACATTTGCATGTTTGGTTTATTACATTCACCTATGCATAAATCCCTTTAGGAAAAAATATGGATTCATCTCCTTCCCCTAGCTATGGATAAATTGTAAAACTTGTATCTAGAAAAATTACCAAAAAATTGTTAATGCAAGATTCCCTTGCTAAAAAAGAATTATTCTTTCAATCCAAAATATGTTTCAGCTTTAAATAACCTACATATAATTGATAAGCAGTAAAAAAAAAAAATGTTCACTATATAGGATATATAACACAGTAGTTTTGTTGTTCATGCATCCTATGTGTCCTGTCCAGTGAAGATTGTATCTAATGATTTAAGCAGTTGTACTCAAACTTTAATATTTGGAAATATCTAATAATATAGAAATAATATAGAATCACTTACATTAGGCTAAAAAGAATATTTTTAGAATATTTATAAGAAATTTTAAAAAAATGATCTCAATAATGTTCATTTTGTTCCAGTAATATTTACACTATTATTATTACTCCTTTTAGTACGTGCAGAAAGGACTTAGATCAAATTAACACAAGACTAATGTTGGGGAAGATACAAAAATTTATCTTTTATTTAAAAAAAAAAAATTCTACTGTGTATTCAGTTTTTAGTTTTCCAAGAGGGTTCTGTGAACTTTTGTGCGCGTGCACACGCACACGATGTAGTAGCAGTAATAGCAATAGGCATCTGTTTATCTCAAAAGATAATGGTAACACCCTGCTTGATCAAAATTCAGTCCTTCAGTGGTGAGACTGGAGTGGCCTCTCCAGGGTGCAGCAATGGGTTACAGAGGCCCCTCTGGGCTGTCTAGACGACATGGCCATCCTGACAAGATCCAAAGGAATACAGATCATTACATTTGGGGCCAACTTGGCTGCATGGGTTCCTGGAAATTTGTCAGTGTTGACACCTAACTGCCCACAGGGTTCCACTCCAGGTTTCCTGTCATGATTTACTTCCATAGCCTTTTCCACAGAGGTTTAAAATCAGGGTTTTACTACCCCTAGATCTGTGTTTTTCAACATTTATAAGCAAATGAAAATATCACAGCACACTTAGCTAAATTTTTAAAGGCTATGCATTTAAATGTTATAAAATAAAATCATAGGTTTAAAAAAAAAATAATACACAAGTATGAACTTACTTTATTTCAATGTTTCTATTCAATTATTTGTGCAGCTTATTTAGTGAGAAACCTGTGCCTGGTGTTTTTTCGCAATTTCTTCAATGTTTGAGACCCTCATTTCTTCAGTTGACCGTAGTCTTTATTGCTTCTTTTTGATTTTATTTAGGGTTGAGAAACCTAATTCATATAAATAAGTAGAAAATTGCAATAAAACTGATAATACCCTTTTAGCTAATATGGGATATTCCTTTTATATTGAAATCCAGGATGTATCGGTGAATACTGTTGACTGTTTTATTTTGAGCCCTCAATCACTAGAAATGACAATATTTCACGGCACAATTCAGAGGATCAGCAGTTGAGAATCCCTGCTCTAGATGGAATGCCTTCCTAAGCTGTCAAACTCCATCTACCTAAAGCAACTTATTATGAGATACCAATTGTCTCCTTTTGCTCGAATATATGCTATTAACAATACATGAATTTAAATTAATAATTAGTTAGACTTCAGCATTTCACACAACAAAAAATAATAGCAGATGTTTATAGTCTTTCTTTGTTAGTTTTATTTTAAAATCAAATAAAACATACTTTTGAAAATATTATACACAGTTGTCTTTGTGAAAATGTTTAGAGAAATGGTGCAAGCTTCTCAAACATTTATCCTCTTAGATTTGTTCATAGCCGTAGAGAATGATAACCTAACTAGTTTTCTAAAAGTCAAACTGATGTCACCTGGCTTGCATTTTATTTGTAGGATAAGTATTTTTCATCTTGTATTTGATCCACTAATCAATTCTCTTTTCAGGGAGATCAATATTTTTTTTTTTTTTTTTTTTTTTTTTTTTGGGTGGGGGACTCCTTTATTTTTCTTTTTTTTTTTTTTTCACCAATTTTTCAATGTACAAACTTAGCTTCATATTTTTTTTTTTTTTTTTTTTTTTTTTTGCATGCATTAACAGGCATTTCTGAAGAGAACTTAGCCAAATTGGTCCAACATGCTCATATTCCAGCAGAAGAAAAATGGATTATCAACGATATGCAAAATTTGGGTGTTCCTATCATCCAAGATGTGAGTACATAGTTTTTGGTATCTTTTTTTAATCAGGGAAAATTGGTTAACTAATCATTTCTAAGCATTCTCTTTCTCTCTCTCTCTCTCTCTCTCTACTGAAACTGTTATTTATTCTATGTTGTTGTTGCTTTTTATTTAAAGTATATATACATCTTGAAAACTTTTAAGGTCACATTCTGAATTTAACATGGTCTAGCAAATAAATATCAAAATCATATTTTTCATAAAAATCTTTTCAGTGGTGGGAATTTATTTATTTTTTTCCCCTTCCTCTCCAAGTTTAGAGATTTTTTATTTATTTTCTTCTTCCTTTTTTGTGACCATTTTTAAGTTTTATGATTTTCACATCAATTTCGTTTTTTTTGTTTTTTTTTTTTTTGTTTAATGCTTTACAGTTGATTTCTCAGCTTTAAATTTCTTCAATGTCAATTTCACTGATTGGCTTTTTTGTAGTTGTAGTCCATGAAACCTGTCTGCATTCAACTTTTATTTATCTAAAGCAAACTGATAATGAAAGCATTTTATTTATGCTCTAATGATTGTGCCAAATCAGGTTTGGGATATTTTAAAAACTAGACTAACTTAAAACGATAATAGAATTATTATTACTATAAATATTAGTACTAAAAGATTTATCAACAGAAATAATCTAATATAAAAAAACATGACTATATTTCAATCATGCAGAAATATAGTAACGAGGTTTTCTCACAAGTAGGGGAGATCATCTTGCTAATACACTGCTTTTTCATTCTTGTTTTGTGTTACTTTCTTTTTTTGTGTCATTTAAAGATGCCTTATCTTGTAAACAATCACTTCAAAAGTGCTTATTGAACATAGTTGTACCATGTAATCACTACTGGTGTCAATGTCTAGAATCCTGTTCATAACTTTTTTTTAATGTCAGAATTGCTGAAAAGTTTTCAACTTTACTCATTTCCCCAAATCAGCATTCTGATGTGTGATCATTGATTTTGGCAAGTGGATTAAGCTAAAAAAATTTTTTCAACACTCACCTCATCAAAAGCAAGCAATGCTAAATGCATAATTCTATATAATAGAATTACAAAATGTGGCCCAAATACACAAGGAAGATTATTTAAAAATGAACTCCTTGTTCTTTAGCAGTGCAATAAAACAATTATTTCACTAGATTGAAATATTTTGACATCAGTATTTTTCTTTGTAATATTCTTCAATACAGACAGTTCTCTAGGCAAAATGTAATTTTTGTTGTATTTTGTTGATATTTCCTAATTTTGTTTTTTAAACTTTAATTTTTGCTTTCAGTAAATAAGTATAAGCCCTAAACTGCTACATATTACTTATTATAATAGAATATTTTCTTGTCTCCTATGTGCTGTAATCATGTCAAGATAAATGAATCTGGATATATTTTGAGCATACATGCATGCACACAACTGTAAATATACTTAGAGAAATATCTATAGTCTTACACTCTCTTATTTATATAGAAATATTTAGTAATTTTAGTTACTTTTTATGTTATATTGTAGAAATGCTATATTTGAAGAATATTTTTTAAAATATTGATGTTAATATCAAATAGGCACACAGAGCCAAGTTTAAATTAACACTGAAATTATTCTAAATTTTGTTCTGGCAATCAGATCCGTTCTTCATGTAGTTGAAGTTGTCAGTGTTTCAGCAGATTTATTGTTCAAGTTGTATTATTGAAAGAAAATTTGGACTGTTGTTGAGTCTTTTCAAATTTATGGACAATACATGGAAACTAGGTTACTAGATATTTATATGTGTCTGAAGGATTTTACATATGTTACAGAAATATAACTGTTTTGTTTGGTTAAATTTGTTTCTTCAAGTAAGTTATGTAAGTTGACCTTTCAACTAATTGTCAAAATAGTGAGTGATGAAACCTACCAAACCTAATAGAAAATAAGTTAATAAAAAATGTCATCACCTTTTGGTAAATATAATACTTATTAATTAAAAAAAATTATTTAATATCTTAAATATTTGTTGCTGTGGAAAATGTATTCTGTCTATAAAAGTCAAAGACTAATTTTTACTGAACCTTTTGCTGTGTGGTTATTTGATATTATTTTATCATCTAACTTGTTTTCAAAGAATTAATAAATGACCTCTTTGCAGTGCAATAAACATTAGTCAAAGATTTTCTTATTTTTAATAATGCTTATTTTTTTTTTTTTTACACCTTACTTTCTTTTATTTTTAAAAATTGTATATGTAAACTTAGCTCATGTTAGTTTTTTTCTTCAGATTTTTAAACTTGTTTTTATCATATATGAAAGTCAATTCAAAAATACTTACTTGATCCTTGATAGGTTATAGACAGTTTTTTGTTTTATTTTGACTAATTGATTAATCAGATTCTGTTACTATTATTACTTTTCCTTGCACAAATTTCCAAGAAAGCTTAAATAATTTAGAATTTAAAAATTAAAGAGTTAATAAAGAAAACCTTTTTTGAGTTAATGTCTTCATATTAATATTATCAAAATATGTATTACTATTTGTACTTCTTTTATTCTGATATGTTTGGTTGGTAAATAGTGTAACTGAAATTTAAATATTAAAGCAACATTGTCAAAAGAGAAATTACATAGTACATTTAAATATTGTCAATTGATAACTGTATCACCCATAATAATATTATTACTGAACAAATTATACTTGTTTATAATAAAAAGTAAATATTTTTGCATTGCCCGCTCATCCATAAAGCAATAAATATTTTTGTACTCTTTAATCATAGTACATGCATTGAGAACATTGCTGATCTATGTATCATTGTTAGCTTTTTTTATGTTTGTCATTGTTTCTTGTGTCAATATATAAACCCTCCCATATTGCAAGAAAATATTTTGATAATTCTCAGCTTCTTTGCTTTTTATACTCGAAAACAAGATCAAATTCATATAAACAAGTTAACAAAAACATTGCTTTCCTGCTTATATTCAAATAAGTACAATGTTATTAAAAAAGAAGTTAATTTCTTTGAGAAAAATTAAGCCCTGAAGATGAGTGCACTGTAGTAATATTCACCTGCTCTGAGACAATTATCCTGACATGATTGTAGAAGCAGATTATTAAAAAGTAGTAACACATTGAAAAATGCACAAAATAAATCATTGCATCAATAACACTGCATAAGGATTCACTTTGCTATTCTTTACTGTAATCATTTTAATTAAAAAGATTGGTATTTTAAAAAATGCAGTTGGATTTTATATTTGACTTAATTCAATTTTAAATATTTGCATGTTGATATGCAGAAGTATATTGTTTTATCATCATCTTCATTATCTACTTAAAAATACTTGCTATGTGCACACCATTTTTTTGTTCATTTTTTTTTTATTGCAGCTTTTTTCAGTGGGGTTTTAATGTAAAAGAAAATCATTTCTTTTTTGTTACTGTTGTCCTCACTCTGAAAATGAATTTACTTGTTGCTCACTCTTCATCTTCATTTCACCCTTTGCATCTGAATCATTCATCTCTATCTTTTCTTCATCCACAAATATTTGTTTAAAAAATAGGAGATCTCTTGAAAACTTCTAATTTTCTGACTTCTGATGTGGGGTACCATCTTTTCCCCCACCTACCTGCCAATTCCTTCCTTTCTCCCTTCTCTTAGCTATTTTTACTAAAGATGGAGTTATCTTGGCTGTGGAAAAAAAGAAATTAAAAAAAAATCCATCGTTTATGTGATTACTTGATAAAATTTGCATGTTTGAAAAATGAAATGTGTACAGATATATATGAGTGAAAACTCATGAAAGCTGTGATGACTACAATGACATTGAGAATGCTTCTGAATATCTTTGTTTTTCTTTTTTTTTTTTTTAGTAAACTTGAATTAGCATGACAGTCTTTCATTCCACACTTTGTCATTGACAATTGCAGTTGCCTACAGACCTATGTAATGCTAATGATAACTACTTTCTTCATTTTCAAAAATAAACCTTATTAGCAAAATCATATTGATAGAAAAGTATTGTTACTATATAATAATTCCAAACCAATTATGATAATATTTTTCTTTCAAATTTTGAAACTTTAAAACTGCACTATTTTATTCATAAGTAAAAATATAATTTCATTGAATGAAAAATAACCTTTGTAAGCATTGTATATTTATTAAGATATCTTTTGGTTTCATTTTAATTTCTATTTTATTTCATTGTAATTACTATTGTTGACAACTGAAATTAAGTTGAAAGAAATACTAATATTACTAGTTTTGATAAAAAAAAAAAAAAATTAAAATAAATTCTTATTTTCATCTTTTTTTTTTTTTTTTTTTTTTTTTTTTTATTGCAATTTTACATGGGCTGTCAATTCTATGGCAATGACTATACAATAGGAATTGAAAATATATCCACAATTTGAACTTTGACCATTTTGCCTCAGGGAGGAATAGCTGAATGTTTTTTTAGTTTTAAAAAAAAATTTCAAAAATTGAAATTTCTTTTAATGGTAATAAATTATGATAAATGTAATTCAATTAAAAGATATTAAATTAAAAGAACAGCATTCCTTTACTGATATTGTTTTTTGTATTCAGATATGGTCAATATTGAGAAACATGACAGTTAACCAAAAGAGAGAAAATATATTAATAGAAATTGATTATCTCTTAGGGGATATCTCAATTATTATTTTATATATTTACTTATATATATATATATATATATATATATATATAATAATCTGGGATTACCACCAGACTTACAATCTTAATTTGGAGATATATATATATATATATATATGATATCGCATATTGAGTGCTGGTGTTAATAAAACAGAGCTCAATGTAATATAACAGCTATTAAGTATATATTATAAATATACATATTATATATATACATTATGTAACAGCCAATCTACTCAGCGCCTGAAGATTGCATTGTGCATGTCTTCAAGTCATGCTACTGGTGAGGAATTATATATATATTTCCCTTGCATGTCATCTGAAAATTTTCTATGGGATC